GTACAACATATTGTTGGATTTTGTTTCTTAATCCATTCTGCTGATCTGTTTCTCTTGGTTGGTGAATTGAGGCCATTAACATTGATGGTTATAACTGATATATTTTGACTTATTCTTGTCATGTTATTGTCCTTTTGTTGACTCTTTTTACTTTTTCTCCCATCTCCTTTTAGTTTCTTGCCTTGCCTATTTGATTTGGTCTGTTGGGCCTCATGTTATTGTGAACTTCGTTGTCCTTTTCTAGGATATTGTTTAGAATTCCTTGCAGTGCTGGGTTGGTGTTCATGAAATTTCTCAGGTGCTCTTTGTCGTGGAAGTATCTTATTTCCCCATCTATTTTGAAAGAGAGTTTTGCAGGATACATCAGTCTAGGTTGGAGGTTCTTTTCTTTTAGGACTTGGAATACCTCACTCCAGGCTCTCCTTGACCTAAGGGTTTGTGTTGAAAAGTCTGCTGTGATTCTAATGGGCTTTCCTTTGCATGTGATTTGTTTCTTTCCTCTTACTGCTTGTAGTATTTTGTTTTTCTGTTGGATTTCTGGAATCTTGATTATTATATGTCTAGGTGTAGATTTTTTTTGATCGTGGCTAGTTGGAGTTCTATATGCCTCACTTATCCATATGTCTAATTCTTCCTTTCTGTTTGGGAAGTTTTCTGTCATTAATTCTGTGAAGAGCTTTTTTATGTCATTTGCATTTTCTCCTGTTTTTTCATGAATTCCTATCAGTCTTATGTTATTTTTCTTTGTATCATCTAGGAGTTGTTGGATTGATTTCTCATGATCCCTTACTGTTTTTAAGAGACCTCTTTTTTCACGGTCACTGACTGCAATCCTATCTTCTATATCTGAAATTCTATCTTCGCAATCTTTTATTCTGTTGCGTACACTTTCAATAGGGTTTTTAATTTCCTGGATATCTGTTTGAATCTGTTTTATGGATTCCATTTCTTTCCTCTGTTGGGCATTCATTGTTTCCTTTTTTTTCTTATGCTGAGTCTTCATGGCTTCTATCATAGTCTTGAGCTCATCTATTTTTTCTTCAGTTTCTGCTCTAGAGTCTCGAATCATGACTTCCATTTTGCTCATCATCTCTCTGGTTAACTGGGAAATTATTTCTGATTTGAATTTTTCTAGAGCCTGATTGATCTGTTTTGTTACCTCCTGTGCTATGGATCCAGGGAGTCCTGTTGGTTCACTATCATACTTTTCATCCTCATTTGTCCTACTCTTTGCCATTGGTGAACTGGAAATCTGTTTTTTTGTTTTGCTTAAGTGTTTTCTCATTTTTATTTTTATTGTTGGGTTGCCCTTTAATTTCTGGGTATTACTTAAATCTTCCTAGTATAGTTGCATTTTAGATTTTGAGTTTCTAATGACTCACAGACATCCTCATTTTCATAATATCAGAGAAAACAACTCTTTAAATCAATCATAACCCTTTATCCCAAATGATACATTCAGCAGCCCAATAGGATCAGGCACAGCTTGCAAACTGACCACTTGTGGTAGTCATTAATGTATCACCTTTAACTCATGTGAATTAATTTCAAGAAGCAGCCCATAGTATGTTTGCAGTGAATATGCTTTTCAATATAGCATCTTTACCATTTAGGATGGGGGGGTTAGACTTAGAACGAGAGGATTAGATAAGTGAAAGAATTAGAGCAGGTTTGAAGTGAATCCAGAGGTTGTAGAATTACCTTACTATCTTTACAAAGCTATTAACTTCAGGGGGGATAGAGAGAGTGCAGGAATAAGGACAAGAATATATCCCCTTAACAATAACAGGCACTTGCCTTCCCTTGAAGGTACAGAGCCATGAGTGAGGTAAAATGACTGGAGAAAAGAACATAAAGAGAAACCCCTCCTAAAAACAAAAAATAATAAAAGAAGAAGTCTGAATTAGGGCAGGAGCCAGAATAAAAAGGGAGATGAGGGACAATATGGTGGAGCAAGATACTGAGTTGGAGAGAGAGGACAGAAAAAAGAAAGAAATTTTAGGGTGGAATGAGGAAAAGAAAAAAGAGAGAGAGAGAAACAAAAAGAATTTGAAGGGCCTCTTTCAGACTGTCTCTGTTCTCATATTATACCACATGTACAGCCATATGCAGAACCGAATCCCCTGGTCTCAGCTAGCCAATGGCAGTTCCCCACAACTGAGACTGAACACAGTCTACAAGGCCTAACTTGAGTTTCTCTACCCTCAGGGTTGAACTCCACTCAGTTCTGTTACAGGTTTCCCCTGCCCTTTCTTTAAAGATGTTCAAAGTTGGGAGCTCAGAAAACTACCCTTTATGAGAACCTATGCCTCTGCAGAGTTGGTCTAAGGACTGGCCCAATCAGGAGGTTTGAGAACCGGGGTGGGGGGAGGTCGTGGGGGTGTTTCAAGGGCGCCCGCATGACTACCTTCCTTACTGGGTCTGTTGTCGTGCAGTCCAGGAGGTCACACACCCACCGGGTGATCTCAGGCAGGCAGGCAGCTGAAGAGACCCCCTCCGGGGTCTTTGGGTCCTCGCTGGGTCTGTTGTCGTGCAGTCCGGGAGGTCACGCACCCGCCAGGTGATCTCAGGCAGGCAGGCAGCTGAAGAGACACCCTCCGGGGTCTTTCGGTCCTCGCTGGGTCTGTTGTCACCCAGTCGGGAGGTTGTGCACCTGCCAGGTCAACAAATTACTTTTTAATGTTAAACATGTGTCAGACAGGAACAGTAACTTCTACATGTTCACAGTAAAACCTAAATAAAATATGCAATCAAAATATAATATACACTAACACCAGAAATTATGGTGATCTGATGAAAATGTGGTCAGGCCAGACCTTACTGAGGTGGTTGCTCATAAATCAGTCCATTTTGAGGCCATGTCTCAGGTGTTGGTGATGGAAAGGGTTGCAAGCGCTCTCTGCTGGAGCTGGTCCTTGTTCAGATTTAATGCATGGTGGGGAGACTCCGGTTGCGCTCTTCCATCTCTACTCCTGCCCTGCAGCCAGCTTTCCAGCAATCACTGTGTTGACCTTGGCGTTCCCTGTACTCCCTGGTTCCTGACTGTTTATCTGGCGTCCATTCTCACTACTCCCTTTTCCATCTGCAGACTTACTTCCCGGCCTTTCTAGTTTCACCTTACAGCCTTGTTTTCCTGATTCATTGATGTTCACGATGGGCCCACTGTGACAGAAAGGAGAGGGCCTTCAGGCCAGGTGACCCTTCTCCTAGCCTTTTACCCTTCTCCTGGCCTTTTCTCCAACACTTTAGTTTCACATGGTAAAGCTTACAGAACTCCACTTACAATATAGTCACACTCTTGCAGTGTATCTGGAATAGATATCTGTGTTATCTATTAAAGCAGTTTAAGAATTCACCATGGCCAAGCATGGTGGTACACACCTGCAGTCCTGGCACCCTGGGAGACTGAGGCAGGAGGATTTTAAATTCAAGCCCAGCCTGGGAAGTTTAGCAATTTGGTGAGAACCTGTCTCAAAATTTAAAAGTAAATAAAAAGGGAAGGTAACATAAAAAAATTAAGATGTGTTATGTACATTTACAATCTCTCCACAATGAATATAACCATAACGTACCAGAAATATGTACTAATAAACATTTTAAAAAGTAGGAGCTGCAGATGTAACTTGGTGTGAAGGCTTTGGATTCAGTTCTCAGTATTTAAAAAAAAACAGACTTCATCATTTTGCTTTTTACCACTGCATCCCCTTTGGGTTCTGCAGTAGAGCTTCCATTTTCTTGTGTGTTTTGTTTTCCTTTCTCCCCTGAGATGTACTTGCATTATTGTAAGAAAGATAAATAAGAATTATGACAACAAGGCAAAATCAAAAGAAAGGTGCCAATTAAGAAAGGAAGAACAGAGAAATAGTATCAAAAAGCAAAATTTACATTAGCAACCTAACTAAAGATAACCCCTCAAGAACATGCCGGTAACAATGACTGCTTCCCAACCTCATATTAAATTTTTATGATGTGTGTTAACTACTAATTAAGCTTGGAAGAGTGAACCGTTAAAGGTAGAGCTGACTCGTGCATAGGTACAAATTACTCCACTACTGTCTGTGCCACTTCACGTCCATAAAAAGGGGGAGCTTTAAGAAAATAAATATTTAGGTAATGTGTTATACTCTTTGGAACGCCACTTCACGTCCATAAAAAGGGGGAGCTTTAAGAAAATAAATATTTAGGTAATGTGTTATACTCTTTGGAACTCCACATGTTGTTATGAAAGAATTCAGAGAGAAAAGAATTTTGTTTACTCTAGAGTAATGGCATTCTGCAAATACATACCAAGAACAATGATAGTTCTGCACTTTTTCTCAGCAAGAATCCAATAATCAGGGGCCCAAAGCATTAGCTGTCTAGTTACCATATGCTGTGTCTTTGATTTTATGCACTATAATCTCAAGCCTTCCATCAGTTTAGAACAATTAGTTGCTCTTTCAATGGAGAAAGGCAGAATAGTACATTTCAAAGCCTAAAGACTAATCAAAAATTTCAAGATCTTCGGAAGCTTTCCAAGCACTTTCTGGAAAATGACGTTTAATGATAAACTATAACTGTAAGGAAATGATTTTATGAATTGGAATTAAATGAGCAT